AGTTTTTTAAGCTTAATCCAATTGGATACGTGCCAGTACTTGTGGATGGTGACTTCGTAGTTGCAGACTCTTTTGCTATATTACTGGTGAATTTCTTCATTAATTATAGCAAAATAGAATTGATTAATCGTGAATTTGGTATATTCCACGTTACTATCAAAAGATATTGTTGACTGGATACCACAATTTTGTAGTATCTAGAAGAGAAATATCCTCAGCATCCATTGTTGCCAAAAGATCTTCAGAAAAGGGCTCTAAATTACCAGGTGAACAAATGCTGGTTAAATATCTCTGTTTGGAAATTTTGTGATTTGGTTGAAAGTATTACACTTGTGCTATCAATGACTATTTTCGTTTTCCAATGAGCTCTTTTGATCGAAATATCTTCCTCACTTCTGGCATTACCCACAAAGGTTAATTAATGTAAGATAAAAGTGAAAGAACTTATGACTCCTCCCAAGTTATCATAGGAGCAATTTGATCTATTTAGTATCATGTCTACAAACTAATGCGCTAATTATTCACTAACACTAAAAGGTTAGGATCAGGTTATCTTAGTTATTGCAAAAATAATCATAGAAACATTTATTCTCTATTTTGGTTGGAATTATAAAAACAAAGTTTCCCTAAGACAGGCTCCTAAAGAAGATGCGAGGACCAATCTACTTGGGTATCCAATGTTAAAGAGCACACATAGTATAAGTTTGTGGTGAAATTTATAACTATATGCACATAATAAATATTATCGCACTGGTTAAGGGGAATGAAGGGATGGGGGGAAAAAGGGGAAAATCTTGATATATACTACTAAAAGTACACTGACATTAATTTTGTAGTTTTAATAGATTTGTTCTTTATGTAGTGGAGAATGTGCTTGAGGTCATTGAATAAAGTAATGACTTGAAAAATTTACCGTCTGATAATTGCTTTACTGCAATTATTTATCTTTTCTTCTTAAATTTTTTTTTCTAAATTTGCTACTTCATGTTTTACTCATTGCAGGTTGCAAATTTGGTTTCCGCAAGCATAAAACCTCTCCAAAATTTACCTGTCCTCGTGAGTGTAAAAACTTCCCTTTTGACGCCAATTTCATTTTCCTCGCCGTATAATTTCCAATTTACTTGTGAGCATGATATGTTTTCATCATCATGTATTGAATATTTAATTGATTTTTTAATGTTCAGGGATATATTAATGAAAAACTTGGCCCTGACGAGAAAATTCCTTGGATATCTTCCTCCCTTGTCATGATTTGCAATTTATTTCTAAGAACAATCTCTCCGCTTTGTCTCTTAGCAACAAGGCAACTTGAATTATTTTGTCCTTTGTTGATTGAATTGTAGATAAGTATGTTCTTTTGAGTTTTGTCGTACCTGCCTAAATTTCTCTCTCATCACCTAGGGAACCTTTTCATTTCCTCTTTTACCAACAGCTTTGGAGTGGGGTAGGTGGGCTGAGCTATTTCCTTACACTAACAGAATTCTGATTAAAACCCTTCTTTTTTACTTATTATTATGGTTGGATCGCTATTTCAGCATATAAATGCTTCAATTAATGCATGTTTCAGATTCGTTGTCAAAATTCTGGAAACTGTTCTTTGAATGCATTCTTGAAAAGATTATTAAATGTTGTCAATTGGTTTTTGTTGTTACTGGACATAACTTCTGGAAATTAAACCCCTTTTTGAGTTTTTTGTTTTGTTGTTTACATGTTTTTTTATTTTAATTTAATACCTTCACTTTTACTACTATAAGAGAGAATCAGAAACCATTTAAAAAGAATGTTGGAAAGAGGACCTGAGCTTGATATGGTATATTTAATTAGGTTCTTTCTCAAGAGGATACAGAGACATTGATGTTTGTGCTACGAGGCAGTTCTAAATTGAAATATATTTGCTGTGGTTTATAAGCTGTCTTTCAAATGCAGTTTTCTAAAGGCATCCACCCATTCATGGACAGATAATTTTCTCCTCTGGTAAAAAGTAATAGCATTCGTTGTCTAGAAAGCCTTATTCTTTTTTCATCCCATTTTATTCTTTTCCCCATTTTTGTTTCTAAACGAAATGAAATGTAGGCTTCTTTTGGTCTTTTCATTTAAAAAGCCTTTGCTTCTTTGATGTTTCTTCACATGCAGACAGATTTCACAGGAAGAGAATACTGCTATGATGGGAAAACAGAATTAATGGGTTCACTTTTTTTTGTATTTTTGGTTACTAATGTTGGCCTATTATAATGAGCATCTCTACCTTTCTAGACAAGGATTTTACAGTGCCTATCTGGTCGTATTTGGTCAACTTTCCCTCCTTGATTCTGTTTTATTCTTTATCTCATTTCTGAAGTAGAATTGATCAACCCCTGATTGTCGGCATAAATCTTTGTGAACTATACTTTACTATAAATCTTGTGGAGTTATTTTGCTCGGATATAATTTATCTTTACATAGTTTGGAAACCCCTCCGTGGACATAGTCTTCAGGGACATGTTTCTCTGTTCATATACGAATATTATATACAAAATATGCAGGACTTATTCTTAAAGCCTGCATCAAGTTCCAAAACCTTTCCGAGGAGATTTTGTTAAAATCAAATATTTATGCGAATTCCTCCCTCCCTCTCTCTGGGCTCCTTTCTTTTTGCGGCATTGCGTAGGCTCACATTTTATCTAGCATCTTGGTTATCCTCGAAGATGGCAGCATTTAAAAAAAATGGAAAAAAAAAATCATTACTTTGTCTAATGTAATTTTGGAACTAAATTTCTTTGGATGGACTCCCATTCTCATTATTTTTGAACTGTACTAGATCAAGAAAATGTAAATGGCTCTATTTTGTCCATCAATAACTTAACTTTCATTGTTGAAACATTTTTCATCCTGTTGATTTTGATCTTTCTTGTTCCTCTTTCTGTTCAATTCTACTTCACAGCCAATAGGACTGCTGGAAGAACTCCATTGGATTGGGAGACGAGAGTGAAAATATCCTTAGGAGCAGCAAAGGGCGTTGCTCATCTTCATTCTGCTGGTGGTGCTAAGTTTACTCATGGAAATATAAAGTCGTCTAATGTCCTTCTGAACCAAGATTTTAACGGTTGTATCTCGGATTTCGGCTTAGCTCCCCTAATGAACTATCCAGCCACTTCTCGGCACGTAGGTTACCGCGCTCCAGAGGTGATAGAGACGAGAAAACATTCTCACAAATCTGATGTATACAGCTTTGGAGTCGTTCTACTTGAGATGCTTACAGGAAAGCAACCGATTCAATCGCCAGGGCGTGATGATATTGTTGATTTACCAAGGTGGGTCCAGTCTGTTGTCCGGGAAGAATGGACTGCTGAAGTTTTTGATGTTGAGTTAATGGGATTCCAAAACATTGAAGAAGAGATGGTGCAAATGCTGCAAATTGCCATGGCATGTGTTGCAAAGGTTCCAGGCCTGCGACCTAACATGGATGAAGTAGTTCAAATGATCAAAGACGTCCGGCAATCCAACTCCAGTAACCGGCCATCTTCAGAAGAGTAAATCCAAGGACTCGGTTGTACAGACCGACCCCCTGATTCTTTCGTAAATTTGTAATCATTAATCACGTATTTCAAAACTTTCTGATTTTTCTATGTTCAAGTTCTGAAAAATTCATTACTGTTAAAATTTCTGGTTGTATTTAAAGCATTAGATGCATTTATGGCTCATGAGTGGGAACTTGCCCAAGGTTAAATGGCCTTGGCGTGTAGTGGATTGATTTACTTTACAATAGAAGTGTTTGTTTCCTTTTCGACACCGTTTCTTGTTTATACTATTTTCATTGTAACACTGTCTTTCGGCTCACACTAAAGTACCATTTCACAGTATTTGAACATTAACTGGAAAAATAATTCAAAATCACTCCACGCTATTAAATACCCAACTAAATTGCAGCACGTGCATCGCACGTGCGTACACTAATAGTCTAATAATGTTTTAGATTTCCCTTCACCTTTCTCACTCTTGATTTTATATTTCAATCGAATTTACAATTATAACCAGACTTTTACTTTTACCCCATGGGGGTTCATAAGCATTGTTCTAAAAACCTTATCTAGGGGCTTGTTTGGTACGGTTCAAAATCCAATTAAAATTGAAAATATAGCCGTTATTGGATTCCACTCATCTAATAAAAGTTAACAATAACGACTAGTTTTTCAATTTTAATCTGATTTTAATATCTACCAAACACCCTCCTAGACTCAAAGCTCAGACGAAACGCTCTCCTAGTATCTAGATGCTTTTTTTTTTCCCAATTCCTGCTAAATTTTAACTCCCTCTCTTTCATCTACCCTGGGCGTGCTTTACTAGGTTTTTTTTGCCCCTTTTTTGCATAAAGTATTTTATTTGACTTTAGCTTATTAATTTTTTTATTTTTATTTTTTAAAAAAAACTTTTCATTTGACTTTATTTTCAAAGCATCCATACCAACGTTAAAAATAATTTTATCTAAATTGTTAAACAAGATTATCTACGTTATATAATTATGATCTTGAGATTCGTTATTTTGTTTCAAACTTCAAAAGTATATATGAAGTTCCTATAGATCTATTAAGTAACACTTGTTTAGTTGAAAATTGAAACTATAAAAAAATATTTTAATTTTACATTTTTTTACACCTATCCCTCGTCTAGATTCGCTTAAAGTTGTACAGCTTGAGGCCTAACCCCCACGCCTAACTACGTTCCACATTTTTTAGAACACTGCTCTGGAGTAAATTTCGTAGGATAAGTAATTTTGAGATCAATTGTTATTTTACTTGTTATAAGAGCCTATTATTTTTCTGGAGCAATAGATTTAGCCAACTATGACAGCCACAACAGCCATCTTCATCTTCAACCCTTCATTACTCACGTCTTCGAGCCCAAAAACACTGTATATTACAGCGCAACACCCTAAGATATCATTATCTTCAATTACGCGAGCACTAACGGTGAAGTGCAGCAAAAATGGTAGCCCGGGACGTATCAGTGGCGAAAATGGGGGCAATTTCAAGGACATTTTGTCAGGTATGGTGGACGAGAGAGTAGAGGAATTGTTGAACAAAGAAGAGAACCAGGTTTTGTTGGATGGACTGGAGAAAGCTACCCAGAGAGTTGAAATGGCCAAGAGAGAGCTTGCTGAGATTGAAAAGCAAGAAATTGAAGCTAAGATGATGAGGGATTATATCAATCAACTAGAAGCAAAAGCCTCCGAGGTAAATTAAATATTGCACTCTAATTGCTTGTTATATTTCCTCTGTTAGACTTATTTATTGATGTGCCTACTAATGTCAGAATGATTGATCAAGATATCTAACATTCATGATTCAACTGCTCTGAATTGTTATGAATTAAACGAATAATTTGTGCTATATTGAGCAATTAACAACGTGAAATAGGAAAACCGATACAAAGAAACACACGTTTTAATCTGGTTCACCCCGAATGCGAGAGCTGCGTCCACAGGAATTGCTGCAATATTGCACCATATCCCAAGAGAATTACAATGTATTTTGGACTCAAGCCTCCCTCTACTGTTTACTATGACACATAAAACGGAGGCTTGCTCTTATATTCTTTTTATAGGAGGAATATATTAGGGCGACCTAATAAATGTGTGAACCTAAGTGAATCAAACGATTTGCAAAATATTTCAATGTTAGTTAATGAAATTGTCAAATTGAGAAGATGCTTTACCCTAAGCCCAGCATGAGCTGCTCACAATTGGCTCTTCATAACCTGCACTTTTATGCAGGTCTAATCACTTCACGGTCTTGCCTCGAATTTTTTTTGATCAATTGAGGTAGTTTGTATTGTTAAAACTAATGCTTTTGGAACCAAAAATTGTCCCACTTATATTCCTTGATTCAGCAGTTAAAACTCAACAAATTGCTCGAGAATACTGATTGGTATGTCAATTGCAGATAGCAGAATGCCAGAAAGAAATATTACAAGCAAGAGCAATGGTCGAGGAAGCAGAGCAATCTTTAACTCTCGATGGTGGCAGAGGCATGGATTCGGAAAGTGAATTTATGTACAAAAATGAGGAAAGATTGGAGTCTATTAAAGCTGCGTTAATTTCTGCCGTTATTGGCACCTTTGCAGGGCTTCCGATATCCTTAACTCGGGTTACAAACTATTCTGAGCTAATACTTCCTCTAGCAATCACATTTGCTAGTTGTGCATTATATGGGGTAACATTCCGGTATGCAATCAGAAGAGACTTGGATGATTCCCACCTGAAATCAGGAACATGTGCAGCTTTTGGCATCATCAAAGGTACTTGTCTTGTGAAATTACTAGCAATAACGGTAATTTAGGATGATTAGTGGATCAAATTCTAGAATCATGTGTGCTGGTTTCTGAGTGCAGGCCTCGCTACACTGGAAGGTGGACCGCCACTGCAGCTGGACGCGGACAGCTTAATATCGCATGCTTTTGATGGTGCAGTTTATGTCTCGGAAAATCTTTTGATTTTCGTATTCGCTGCTGTTGGCCTGGATTTCTTCATTAAGTTGCGAATTTTAAGCCCATTTCCAATCGATCGATCAGTTCCAAAGACGTAAAACTTCCAAGGTTTTTTCTTGTAAGGATACTTGATTTGGGAACAACACGCATGATATGCATGTTTAGGAGCTTTATTTTATAAAATTTGGTTTAATTTCCCGCTTCTGCACTAAAAGCAGCTAATTTTCGTTTGAACCAACCAAATATAGAAGGCAGGCAATAGATTAATACACTACAAATCTACATGAACAACAACAAACTCTCACTGGTTCATAAAATAGAAGGACTCCCAAGCGAAAATGTCGCTTACAGGCACAAAATTGTTACGCCAAAATCTCGCAAGCGTACGAGTTCGTTGTACAAGTAATAATTGTGATGAGTGAGTTATCGTCCCACAGGGAATAAGGCTCAATTTTAGAGTATTCGATATATTTAAA